AGGATTTCAGTCTTCTTGATTTTATTGAGATTTGTTTTGTGGCTTAGCATGTGATCTGTCCTGGAGAATTTTCTATGTGCACTTGAAAAGAACGTATATTCTGCTGTTTTCAGATGAAATGTTTTGTATATATCTGTTAGGTCCATTAGTCTAAAGTGTTGTTCAAAGATACTGTTTCCTGTTGATTTTCTCTCCGGATGGTCTATACATTGATGTAAGTGTTGTGTTAAAGTCACCTACCATTATTGTACTATTGTCAATTTCTCCCTTTATGTCTGTTAGTAGTTGCTTTATATATTTGATTGTCCAGTGTTGGGTACATAGATATTTACAATTGTTATACCCTCTTTTTAGAATGTTCCCTTTATCATTATATAATGCCCTTCTTAGACTTTAAAACAAAGACCGTAACAAAAGAATTTTGTGTGATCTAAATATTGCTAGTGTGGCTTTTTGTTTCACTTCTGTTTTCATGGAATCTTTTTCCATCCATTAAGTGTATACATGTCTTTAGGTCTAAAGTAAACCTCTTACAGGCAGCAAATGGATAGGTCTTGTTTTTTAAATCTTTTTGGTCACCCTATATCTTTTGATTGTAGCATTTTGTCCTCTTAACCTTTAAAGTAATTATTCATAGGTATTACTTATTGCCATTTTGTGACTTTTTTCTGGTTGTTTTTCTCTGTTCCTTCTCTTGTTCTCTTCCCTTGTGGTTTGATGGCTTTTTAGTGTTAAACACACAAAAAAGAGAAAGGAATCAAAAGTATATCTATTATAGGTTTTTGGTTTGCAGTTACCATTAGGTTCATATTTAACATCTTATGGGTATAGCAGTCTATATTAAGTTGATATTTGCTTAAGTTCAAACAAATTCTAAAAGCACTAAATATTTACTCCCCTACCCACGTTTTATGAATGTCATATTTTATATATATAAATGTATATGTCTTATGTTGTGTATCCTTGACTCCTTTTTGTACATAGAATTTATTTTACTGCTTTTGTGTTTTCATCTCCATACTGGTTTTATAAGAGATTTACCTACCTTTATTACATGTTTGCATTTATTTGTGAAATTTCTTCCTTTCATAATTGTCTTACTGTTAGGGCCTTTTCTTTGCACTCAGAATTCAACATTTTGTGTAAGGATGGGTTAGTGGTAATGAACTCCTTTAACTTTTGTTTGTCTGGGAAACTCTTTATGTCTCCTTCTATTCTGAATGATTATCTTGCTGGATAGAGTATTCCAGTTGCAGGTTTTTTCCTTTAAGCACTTTGAATATATCATGACACTGTCTTCTGGCCGGCAAAGTTTCTGCCAAGAAATCAGCTGGTAGCTGTTTGGGATTTCCCTTGTATGTAACTGTTTTTGCTCTTGCTGCTTTTAAAATTTCTTTTCATAATTAACATGGCAGAAAGTAACGACAGTGTAGGGAGATATGGATCTCCTTGGGTTCATCTTGTTGGAGGGTCTCTGCCTCCTGGATATGGATGTGTGTTTCTTTCTCCAGGTTAGGGAAGTTTTCTGCTATTATTTCTTCAAATAAGTTTTCTGCTCCTTTCTCTCTTCTCCTTCTGAGATCCCTAGAACACTAATGTTATTATGCTTGATGAAATCACAGAGTTTCCTTATCTTTTTTTTCTTTTTTTGCCTTCAGCTTGGTTGCTGGACATTATCCTGTCTTCTAGATCACCAATCTGTTCTTGTGCATCCTTTGTTCTGTTGTTGATTCCCTCTGGTGTGTGTGTGGTGGTTTTTTTCCCCCCCATTATTGAGTTCTTCATCTCTGATTGGTTCTTTTTTATATTTCTTGTCTCTTTGTTGAAGATCTGAGATCTTTTTTTTCCCCCCCCTCAAGTCAGTATCTTTATGACCATTACTTTGACTTCTTTATCAGGCATAGTGCTTATCTCCATATCCTTTAGCTTTTTTGCTGTGATTTTTTTGTTCTTTCATTTGGGACATATTCCTTTCTCTCCTCATTTTGTCTAACTCACTGTTTCTGTGTATTAGGAAGGTCAGCTCTGTCTCCTGGTCTTGAAAGTAGTGGCCTTGTGAAGAAAAGGTTCTGTGGTGCCCTGTAGCCCAATGTCATCAGAACCAGGCACTCCAGGGGTGTCTTCTCTGTGGGCTCTGTGCACCCTACTATTGTAGCTCAGTCACATTTGCCTTCAGTCCAGTTGGCTACAATGACCTATCTTATTTTGCCTGCTGTAGGCACATGCCAGGTTCGGTCCTGCACCATTGAGGGGCTTGAGACCACTGCATGCTTGTATGTGGGAGGTGTCTGCATCTAGTTTGCCCTAGCTATGGCAGGGCAAGAGGTCAGGGCACTTTCCCTGCGGGGCTCCCTGGGAGGCTTTTTTTGTTGGGAGGGGTGGGCAGTCAGATTAGATATCTATACCAAGTCTGTCTGCTCTAGCTGTAGGCACACCAAGTGCAGGGCATTCTCCCTGGGTGGTCAGCTAAAAGGTTTGGCTGCTGGAACTGTGGGTGTGCTGGTGTGTGGGGTTATCCCCCCTCTACCCAAGGAAGAGTCACTTTGGAGTGGCACTGATCCTTGCCGGGGCTGCTTGCAGGATGTGGTGGGCAGGAGCTGCTTTTCAGGAACCCCTACCAAGTTGTGGGGTGGGGGTTGTATGGGTGGGTCTGCAGGTGAATGTGAGGATGAGTTATGTAGTGCTAGCAAAATAGGTGGAGAGGGTTAACATGGGTTCCCACATGTGTCAGGCTATTTAGGCTGGGGGAGATGAAGTGGTACATGGCTACACTTTTGTTCTTGGAGAAGTTTCCTGAAGATACCTGCCCCTCCAGCACTTGTTTGGTGATTAGTAAATAAATCTCTGTGTATACCACAGGCACTTTTCAAATAGCTGCTTTTATGCTGTGTCTAGGCTGGGCTATTTATTATTGGTTATTTTGGCTTATTTTAGGGCAGGGACGGTTTCCCATTGCCCTCCAGCTCTTCCAGAGCTAAGCCTGCTAATTTTTTAAAGTACCTGGAGTTAAACCCTAATTTTAACAGCTTTTAAAGTTAAGCCCCACTGGTTATCAGAGCCAGATGTTATGGGAGCTCATCTTCCCAGTGTGTTTCCCTAATGCCTGGGATACCTGGCATGGAGTCTGATCAGCTCACTTCTCCACGCTTGTGATATCCCTCCTGTTTGTGGTTAGTCTCACAGGAGGGTTTGATTCCCAACTGCATTTCTGTCCCCTTCTGCCCTTTTTGATGTGGTCTCTCCACAATTAACTTTGGAAGGTCTGTTTTGCCAGACTTTGGGTCATTTTTCAGAGTGATTTGCACAAATAGAGCTGTTATCTTGGTGTGTCTATGGAAGGAGTTGAGTGCAGGATCCTCCTACCACTCCATCTTCCTGATCTCCCCTAACTCCTGTTATTTCCTTTTCAGTGAACAGATCTCACTGTCTTATATGCAGCGGTTTAAATAATTACAAAAGGAGTTTGAGTAAAAATCATTTGAAAATTACTTGCAGACATGATGAATGCTTTTTCTTAAATATTTCAGTTTGTGTTCCTTTAATAAAGGGGATGCTCCCTAACATAACTATAATACAGTTGTAAAAATCAGGAAGTTAACAGTGATATAGTGACTTTATTCAAATTTTGAAAAAAATCAGATCCAAGATTCAATCCAGGATCAAACATTGCATTTAATTATCATTTCTCATCAATTTTCTTTAATCTGGAACAGTTGCTTAGTCTTGGTCTTTTTTTTTTTTTTTTTTGAAAAATGTAGGCTAATTATTTTATAGTAAGTCTCTTGATTTGGGTTTGTCTGGTTTCCTCAAGATTAGAGTTACACATTTTTGGCAGGAATGCCAGAGAAGCAATGTTGTGTCTCTCAGTGCATCAGAGGAGGGGGCACTTGATACCTTTTTGTCCCATTATTGGTGATAATAAGTTAGATCACTTGATAGGGGTAAACCATTATAAGGATGCTTTCCCATTATAGGTACAGGCATACCTCAGTGATATTGCAGGTTTGGTTCTAGACTACAGCAATAAAGCAACTATCTCAATAAAGCAAGTAAAATGAATTTTTTGGTTTTCTAGTCCATATAAGTTATGTTTATATTATACCACGATATATGAAATGTATAATAGGATTATGTCTAAAAAAGCAATGTACATACTTTAACATTTTATTACTAAAAGCTAATCATCTGAGCTTTCAGGGAGTCTTAATCATTGATCAACATAACAAATAATGAAAAAATTTGAATATTACAAGAATTACCAAAATGTGACAGAGACACAAAGTGCCAGTAGATTTGCTTGATGCAGGGTTGCCACAAACCTTCAGTTTGTAAAAAATCAATATCTGTGATGTGTGATCAAGCACAATAAAATGATATATGCATGTATTATGTATCTTAGGGAGAGATACTTTGACATTATGTAAATACCAATCTTGCTCATTTTGGCATTTATTGGTGATTCTTGAATCAGTTATTACTGTAATGGCTCATCAAAGTAGTGTCCATACTTACCTTAATCTGATATATTTCCAGGGAAGAGGTGCAAACCTGAAATACTCTTTTCAGGTAGGCCTCTGTCTCACCAGAGCCCAGGTGTGCTGTTACCCTTTAGTCACACATACTGATGTGTACACACATGGCAATGACCAATAACATATTTTACTCCTCCTAGAGACTGCTTGTATTATGGGTCTGTAGTTTGAGTTGAGACAAATATGAATATACGTGCATGCCCTTATAGCAGAATGATGGCATTTTTTTTCCCCCTGAAAATATCTTTGTTTTAGTGTTTCTTATTAAATGATTGATCTGTGGGGATTAATTTTGTCATCTGTATAGTGTATCATGATAATTAGATTTTATGTATTTTTATTTTAAAATTAGATAAGTTTTATTTTTTGTTTTTTGTTTTTTTACTTGTAAATTCTCAACACTTAAACTAAAGGAGGAGACTTTTTGAAGGATTTTTTTTAATCTTATTTTTAAATGTTACTTGTTAGGATCCGAGGTGTTGGGACAGCAGCTGTTAATATGTGCCTTGTGGCAACTGGAGTTGCAGATGCATATTATGAAATGGGAATTCACTGCTGGGATATGGCAGGAGCTGGCATTATTGTTACTGAAGCTGGTGGAGTACTAATGGATGTGACAGGTAAAATTATGGGACAGTAAAGCATTTTTCTCTCTGGTACTTTCCTTTATATGTGGCTTTTTTCTTTTAATGTTTAATATATGTTACACTTAAACTCTTAAAGGCCAAACAAAAACAAGCCATGTAATTTTCTGCAAAATCAGAATAACAAATTGAGAGAGGCAAGGATAAGAAGCTAATTGTAATGTGGGAATAATAATGATAAATGACTAAGCCTCTTCAAACCTGTGAGTATCAGGAACTCTTGAGACGCTTTTGGAAAATTATAGAAGGTCACTGAATCTGAGGTTTGTACCAAGAGCTTTTTGGTGACTGGGGTGGTTGACAATGAACTTTCCCCACCATCACTTTCTGCCTTGGGCCTAGAGAGGTTAACTTCTTGCTTTGAACTGATGGTGAAATTTTTTAAAGTGAAGAGTGAACCTGGGCCGAAAGATATTCACTTGTGATCTGGGAGAAAGGCAATGAAGAAATAAGGAAATGGGAAGGAGAGATACGAAAATGCTGTGCTGTGGAGTCAAATTTCCTGTCCATAGATTCCCAAGCATGAAAGAGGTAATAAAAGTAACAAAAAGATTAGAAAAAGAACACAGGAAAGAAGTAGATGAAGCTAATATTACACTGCATGTTAACTAACATATAAATAAAAATTTTTTTAAAAATGGCATTTTTCAGACCGGTATGATTGAAATGCTCCCCACCCCCAAAAAAACCCTGGTATTTACTAAAAGATTCTTAAAACTCATTCTTGTATTGCCAAAGCTTAAGCATTATGGTTATGACAGTTTTTTTTAAAGAAAACTGAAAGTATTAAAATGTTATGATTGACCATAGTACATATTGCTATACTAGTTTTACAGGAATTATGTTTGGTTTGATTTTAGGTGGGCCATTTGACTTGATGTCACGAAGAATAATTGCTGCAAATAGTAAAACATTAGCAGAAAGGATAGCCAAAGAAATTCAGGTGATACCACTTCAAAGAGACGATGAAGAGTAATTGCAACAGCCCCACATATTCAATCACAGCTGCATTTCCCCATATTTGCTGACACACTGATGGTGTTATAAAATTTAGGACATTTATTTCAGATGTATAATATGGTTGGTTTAAATTGTCTTTGATATCCAGATTAAAAAATTACAGTGTTGTATATTTTACTAAGATAGGGTATGAAAGAAGAGCTGAAATATTTCATTGTTTTAAAAATTCTGCGTGTAAGAGTATACTTTGGGGAAAAACAGGTAGTTGAGACAAGGTATCAATCACATCAACTGAAATAGTTTCTAAGTGTATATGAGCCTCTGAAATTTTGACTGTACATTAAGCATTCTTAATTAGGTAACTTTTTGGAAAAAATTTTCTTTAGTTCCCAAAGCCATATTTAATTAAATTTGTAAGTATATAATGGGTACTTCCTAGACCAAGGTTTTTTTCTTTTCAGAGAACCTAGTTTTATTCTACACACAGCATCTGTCAAATATGGGCAATTCAAAAACAAGCATTGAGAGAATAAATATTTTGGAGGTAGCAATTCCTAGTTATAACATATATAAAGTAATGAGCTCACCACCCTTTATTTTTACTTTAGGTTTTGAAGTAAAAATGATCTCATCATCGTTTTCATATTTTACATTATCATTCCTTTTAACATTTCACATTGCCACACCATTTCAATTACCGTATTGCCAGATACCATTTCTAATTGTGGGCATTTCTGCAGTTAATATATTTTCCAAGACCCTGCATTACAGTATTTGTTTGGATTCTCTTAAAGACCCTATGTAAAAAAGGGGTTTCAAAAAAGCATTCTCATCAGGTATCTACTTTTCTACTATAGTACAATAAAATTGTACTAAATTCAATATTCATGTTTTAAAGATCTTCATATTAACCTGGTTGTGCACAGGAAACCTAGAACCTGGCAGATATACTGTACTATTAATACTAAACTTTGTTTTTTCCCCCAAACTCCTTAATTTCTTTGCCACCAGTACTCAGTCTTAAAATATTCCTTAATAGTCTTTGGCTTATGAAACTCAAAGAAAACTGTTCTAGTTCATAGATATTTTAAAAGGTTAATTGACTGCTTCGCCTTGTCCCTGGGCACTTGAACAGAGTATTAAGTTTTGTTATGGTCTCATGTGAGCCTTATATTTGATAGAATGAAAAGTGCATCTATAAAGTAGGAGGTTATTTTATTGTGCACATCTAATATATTTAAAAATATACTAAGATTTGAGTATTGTATTTGTACTGTTGGTCATGTGCAGTAAAAATAACTTGTACTATATTCCTCTATGGTTAATTTTTCAATTAAAATTTATTTTAATTAAGACTAATGAATAAAATTTTAAATAAGTATGATTGAACATTGTTAAAGTTTATAATTTAAAGTACTTCTAGGGGTTTTGTGTTGAGTTGTATATATTTGACATCTGCGGTTGTGATTGAATATATGTTCTTGGGGGGGTTTTTTGCCAGTTTTCCCAGCTTTTCTGAAAGACTTGATTTTTTTATTCTAAATGCAACTAGGTAATTTGTGGCTGAAATTTCTTTGGACATTGAAAAAGGATTGACAAGTGAGTTATCCAATAATAGTTTGAAAATTTGAGTAACAGAAGTCCATCTCTCCAACTCTTAGCAGTTTCTTCTAGTCTTTACATCCATCTTTTTAAAGATGGATATATTCTGTTACATATTTATTGGCTTTATTCATTATCTGTTAACTTGCTGTTATAGAAGATGAGGATTTTGTACTTTTAACTCACCCATGAGTTACCTTTACCTCTTCCTTTTCATCCTCCTAGTATAGTAATATCTTTCTTGTTAAATTTATATTCAGTGTTTAACTTAGGACTTTTATTCACTGGTTAACTAGTATGTTATGATTATATTTTCTTTCCTGTGCAACTTTTGTTCTTCTTGAAATTAACACATTTTCCCCAGGATTGTAAAACCTCTTTATTTTCTACTTGTCTAACCCTAATCAGGTATTCTGTTCTATTAGCACTGTTTTCTTTTCCTCCTATAGGTAGACTTTTTGGTGCCCTTTTCCTTTTCTTCCAGTGTGAATTGGTTACTGGCTAAGTGTGCTGCGTAGCAGTCCTCCTGGAGCTTCTCTTACATTCAGTCATCTGTGTCCTTGATCTTCCTGCTCATTCCCTCATTTTGGTGAGCCCCTCTTCCAGGTACTTAGAGGTAAAATTTTGAAATCTCACAAGAAAATGTCTATTCCTTCATTAATAGTTTGGCTAGTTCTAGAATGCTAGCTTGAAAACAGTTTTCCCTCAGAATTTAGGATGAGAAGTCTTTTAATTTTCAATCCATTAAGTCTTTTATTGAAGATTTTAGAAAACTCCAGAAATCAAAAGAAAATCCTAAATTTCCTGGTGATAAGATGTCTTTTTTTTTCCCCCCAATCCATTGTGCTAATTCTCATCCTTTCATTCTGGAAAGTTCAAGTCCTTTAGTGTTTTCTTTTATAGTTTCCTCCCTTCCTCATTCTCTGTCCTCTCTTCCTGGAATTTTTCTTATTCAGGTGTTGGACCTCCTAGATTTATCCTCTTATTTCTTCTGTTTAACATCTCTTTCCATTTGTTTATAAGGGACTTCCTTAACTTTATCTTCCAACCCTTTTATTCACTTTTTTAATGTTATGCTATCCCTTGATTCTATCCCTGGCATTATTCCTTGAAGGTTCTTCACTTTCCAAGGTTTTTTGTTATGAAAATAATATTAAAATTTGTGGGTACAGGTCAAGCACTGCCTACAGGGAAATCTATAGCCTTAAACGCAAGGTACAAAATAAAACAACAAAAAAACCCAAACAAACAGTACAAGGATTGATTGGAGAAATAAAACTAATTCACTGATTCCCCACTTGGGTTTTTTACAGATCCTTTTGGCTTTTCTTTCTAATTAGTGTCTTTAGTGGTGGTACTAGAGGTAAGGTCAATGTACAAAATCATTTGTATAAGCTACCAACACATAAGTTAGCATTTAATGAAGATATATATATATAGTATTTAAAAAGCTATCAGATAACTAGGAATGAATTTGTCTAATGAAAGATGTACAAGAGCTCTATACAGAAAAAGCATAAAACATTACTGAGAAATTTTTAAAAGATCTGAATAGTAATATACATGTTTATTGTTTAGAACTATTTTTCAGATGTTAATTCCTGTCAAATTGATGTAGATTGAATGCAATCCATCAAAATCCTAATGGTTTGGGTGAGGGCATAAGGTGGGAGGGCTAACAACTTACGTGGAAATATAGAGAGCCAAAAATAGCAAAGACCATCTTAAAGCATAATAGTGAAGTTAGAGGGGCGCCTGGGTGGCTCAGTCGGTTAAGCGACTGCCTTCAGCTCAGGTCATGATCCTGGAGTCCCGGGATCGAGTCCCGCATCGGGCTCCCTGCTCGGCAGGGAGTCTGCTTCTCCCTCTGACCCTCCTCCCTCTCATGCTCTCTGTCTCTCATTCTCTCTCTCACAAATAAATAAATAAAATCTTTAAAAAAAAATAGTGAAGTTAGAAGATGACACCACTAGTTATCAAGACTCGTTATAGAGGTACCATAATTAAAACAGTGATACTACTAGCACAAGGATATTCAAATAGACCAATGGAATAGTGTTCAGAAATAGACCAACATAAAGCTCTCTAGTTTATGATAATTAATGCAATAAGGAAAAATGATTTTTAGTAAATGTGTGGAATTAATTAATATGAACATCCAAAGGGGAAAAATCTTGATCCACATGCACAAAAATCAATTCCAGATGGATCATAAACTTAAATATGGAAGCTAAAGCTTCCAGAAGATAGCATAGGAAAATAGCTTCCCGTTTTTGTGGTAAACAACGATTTGGTAAATAGGACCAAAAAAACGAAAACAAAACCCACTAATCATAAAGGAAGACTGGTTGATCAGGCTACTTTTATCATCTAAATATATAAATAGGAGAGTCAGAAGGCAACCCCCAGAGTTTGCAATACTCTGACAAATTCTATCCAGATTATTTAAATAACTCCTTATCGATGAAAAAGATAATTGGGACTCTGGTCCAAGATGGCTATGTAGAAAGATCCTGAACTCCCCTTCACACACTAAGTCTACACTAATATGTAAAATAATTCCTCCTGAAAAACTAAGGACTTAACAGCTTCTGCACAAAAGACCACATAAAGAATGGCAAGAAGGATAGAGACAGTAATGAAGGGAAACCCCCACCCAGGACACACACTGGAGTGGGGAGGGGTAGTACTGAAGGACTATGAGCAGATTTGTGAGCTCTGGGGCACAGAAAAAAAGCAACGGTTTAAAAGAGCAAATAGATATAAAGGAACTAGACCTAGAATCCTATCATACGGCAAGGGAGCTGCTGGAACTCTCCAGGTCAGAGGGGCTGGTGAGCACCACGGTTTACATTCCCATTCCACCTTGATAGTGTGGATGGGAGCAATGTTCAGGTGCCATAGCTGGCCTTAACCCCCTCAGTGAGCCCCCAGTCCCTAGTCCATACCAGCCCTAGCTGTCTCACCAAGGTAGCCCCAGCTTGACAAACACTGGGACACTCCTAGTAAGTGCTCACTATGTATATCTCCCGTGGTTGCACCAAGGTGCAACAGGTATAAGCCACCCCAGAACTTCACAGGCCCATACCACTTTGGCTCCAGGTGGCCTCCTGGCTCACACCTGCTTCAGCTACCCCACTAAGGTGCCTCCTATGCACCTTGTCTTGGGACACCCTGCTTGACACCGGCCTTGGCTCCAGTCACTCTACTAGGGCACCCCCTGTGCTGAGCACACTCTGGCTTATACCCACTTCAGCTTCAGCTGTACTCCCAGGGTTCTTCCTTGTAGAAGGAAGAACACACCTGCCAGGGTGCCAGGTGTGTGGAAAACCCTGTGACAACCTGGGTTGCACCCATTTCAGCTTCAGCTATCTTGTTAAGACGCCTTCTACACAGAGAACCCAGAGACTGCCCCAGCCCATGCCCACTTCAGCTTCAGCTGACCAGGGCACTCTCTGTGCAGAGAGCCCCAGGATCACCCCAGCCCATGCCCACTTCAGCTCTGGCCATCCCACCAGGGCAGCCCCAGCAGAGTGTCCAGGGACCCCCAAGCCAGTCACAGCTCCAGGCAGCCAGCCAAAGTTACCAGGCACACAGTCTGCACAGGGGATGACCATACACAAGACCATTCCTTCAAGATTAGGAGAAGCAGCTGTTCTACCTAATTCATAGAAACAAAGTCAAGCAAAATGTGGAGACAGAAGAATATGTTCCAAATGAAAGAACAAGATAAAACCCAGAAAATTAAATGAAACAGGAATAATCAATATGCCTGCTAAAGAGTTTAAAATAATGATTGTAAAGATGCTCATCAGACTGGAGAAGAGTGTAAGAATAAAATGAGAGCTCTGACAAGGAGATAAAAAATATAAAGAACCAGGGTTGAAGAGTACAATAACTGAAATGAAAAATACACTAGAGGGAATCAACAGTATTAGTGGATGCAGAAGAATGGATCAGCCATTTGGAAGAAAGAGTAATGGAAAGCACCCAAGCTGAAGAGCAAAAAAAGAATTTTTAAAAATGATAGGGGAGGTTTTGGACAACATCAAGTGAACAAACATTTACATTATGGGCGTCCCAGAAGGAGGAGAGACAGAGAGAGAAAGGCGCAGAAAACTTATTTGAAAGAAAGAGACAAAGGAAGGGCATTACATAATGATAAAGCAGTCAATCCTACAAGAGAATATAACAGTTTTAAGTATCCACTCAATATTGGAGCACCTAAATACACAAAGTAGTTATTAACAAAGGGAGAATTAGACATTAATAATAGTATGGGACTCTAACACCCCACTTACATCAGTGGATACATAAAACAGGCAGAAAATCAAAGGAAACAGTGTCTGAATGACACTGATGGAATTAACACATACAGAACGTTCTATCAAAAACAAGTTCTTCTCAAGTGCATATAGAACATTCCCCAGAATAGATCACGTTGGGCCACAAAACAAATCTCAATAAATTCAAGAATATAGAAATCATATTATGAAATCATATTATGCATCTTTTCTGACCACAATGATATGCAACTAGAAATCAAGAAAAAAAAACTAGAAAACACACACAGATGGAGGCTAAACAACATACTACCAAACAGGAAATGGGTCAAAGAAATCTTATAGGAAATAAAATACATGGAGACAAATGAAAATAAAAACAGTCCAAAATCTTTGGGATGCAGAGAAACTTATTGTGAGTTTCCCACAACCCCTTCTGAGGTAAGGCCTACCTCAGAAACAAAAATCTCAATCTAATCTTACACCTAAAGGAACTAGAAAAAGAACAAAGAAAACCCAAGGTTAACAGAAGAAAGGAAATAAGTATCAGAGCAGAAATAAATGAAATAGAGACTTAAAAAAAAAAAAAAATCCAAAACAACAGCAGAGATCAATAAAACCAAGAGCTGGTTCTTTGAAAAGATAAACAAAACTGATAAACCTTTGGCCAGACTCGTTAAGAAATAAAGGGATAGGACAAGTAAAATCAGAAATGAAAGAGAAGTAACAACCAACATCACAGAAATACAAAGGATTATGAAACTGATATATAATTATGTGCCAACAAGTTGGACAACCCAGAAGAAATGGACAAATTCCTAGAAATATGCAATCTTCCAAAACAGGGAAGAAACAGAAAATCTGAACAGGCCAATTACTAGTAATGAAATTGAACCAGTAATCAAAAAACTCCCAACAAACAAAAGTCCAGGACCAGAATGGAGGGAAGATCGCAGAGTAGGAGGACCCTAAGCTCACCCAGTCCCACATTTACAACTAGATATCGCTGACATCTGAGTCAATAAACTAGAAAGTAATCTGAAGCCTGGAAGAACAAACTCCACAACTAAATGTAGAGAAGAGGCCACACTAGAAAGTTTAGGAAGGGAAGAAATGGTAGTTGGGAGCTGCCTGCAAGAGGGAAGAAGCTGTGGGCATGGAGAGTGGAAAGCACCAGGGAGCCCATGTAGGGAAAATCAATCCCCATGACATCTGGCCTTGAAAACCAGAGAAGCTGAATTCTGTGAGTCTGTATAACCAGCAGGACATAGAGCCTGGAACTTTAAAAGTCAACTGACTCAGCACTGGGAGAGCTAGGAGGGCAAGTGATAGCTGGGTTACTGCTCTTAAAGAGACAACAGCCCACAGAGAGGCAACATAGAATCAACATTTTGGGACAAATGGGAGGAAGACCTGTTTATAAGGATTTCAGAGCACGTTGGGGGACTTCTGTAGAACAAAGGAGCTGGCAGGTGCCATTTTCCTTCCCCCTCCCCCCACATAAACACAGAGCCAACTGTGAGAGGTGACAATGCACAAATACTTTCTACCTAACCTGCTGATAGTGCACCCCACCCATGAGTTCTCTTGAGGACTCCTCCACTTCAAGCCTGCTGGCCTCGGCCTTGGGCTCAGTGCAAAGTTTTTTAACACCAAGTGCACCCCACCCAGTCACTCCCTTCATGCTCCACACCCCTGGAGGCCACTGAAATCTGGGGCATCTGGCCTAGGACTAGTGGCTCAGCACAAATTTTGCTAACACAGCCAGCCCATCCCTGAGCCCTTCTGTGGTTCACTCCACCAGCCTGCTAAGGTCTCATTAACATCACAGAGTATAAGCACAGCCCACAATAGGCAGAGAGTTAGTGCAGAGGTCTGGACTGAATGGAAGGGACTCAGACGCAATAGTAAAATGCAGGCAATACACATAGGAGACTCCCTTAAAGCACCAGGTTCTGGTGAACAGGGGACACTGCACTGAAGGGCCCTACAGAACCTCTTCTTCATAAAGCCA